ATATATTGGAAACGCAAAAAAGTAATATTTGGCAACAAAAACAATCAACTAAGACACATAATTCTCTACTTGATTTTGACTTTTTTTATTCCATATTACCATGGCTATTTTATCAGTTCAACGAATAATAACTGTCGATTCTATCTACATTGAGAAGTTTTAAGGTTTCAATCGAATACCGCAAAAAACGAGTTGAAATCATAGGTTTTTATACCGATTTCTACACAGTGAAGCTCGACTAATCAACTTGAAAAATATCGCCAAAAAAATAGTGTATTAATTTATTATCATTAATTTTGAATCTCAGTCTCGAATTTATCTCGATAATTTCTTACACAACTTGAATAATTATAAACGGTAGAAATGCAACATGGTTTTATTTAATCATTAAATGCGAAGCTTACAACCACACACTCGGATCAAGAATTAAATTCTTTACAAATCATTTACCATATTTGTCTTTGTTGAATGCATCCGGATGAAATCTCCTGAAATTATTACCGGTCAAACTCATGCCAGCAAATTCATATGCCTCCGGAACCACACCGCCGGTGGATGTCCCAGTTTGAGATGTTTCTCGTCTATCAAAGTCGTTGAACGACGGTGGAAGTCCATAACTATATATCTGATTGCTTCCCGAAGGGTGAGATATGACCCCTGGCCTGATAGCTCCGACAGACGGTGGTTGAGCATCGTTACTATACCAACCGCCACCGGAATCATCTAGCCCGCGGCTGACTGACCCACCTTGAAACTGATTAAGCGAATTCTGTTGGCCGTGGACGAAGCCTCCGTAGGACATAGGTTGACCATAGATATCGGCAGCCATCGGGTTGCGGATGGGTGCTCCGAAGGCCTGCACATCTACGGTGGTGCTCACATGTGGCTGTTCTTGATCTATGGTGTGTGTCACCTTCGACGGAAAAGATGGAGGTGTGTTGCCGGAATCCATTTTGCTGATGGGTATTGGATGTAGAAGTCGATGGTGGACTGATTTGGATTATATACAACGTACAATACGCACCCAAAAACGAGTAGGAAAGGAGAGGCGGGGTGTTGGGAGGCGCCGAGGCCGTGTTGAAGTATTCATGGTCAACGTGAGATTATTTATATTTATTATTGAAAATTACTTTCTTTCGAAATAATAAAACAGAAAATACTTAAATGCATAAAAAGTGAAAAAGAATAATCAAAACGTTCTTGTAATGTTATCCTATAAAAACATTAGAATTTTTTATTTTTTAGAAAAGCGTTTTCTACCGTAAAGTTTCAAAAAAAAATTATTTTTTTTAATAAAAAAACTCAATAAACCGGATAAACCTAACAATTTAATCCACTTTTTCCGGCAACCCTCATTTAACTGGTTACAAATGTTTATGTGGACTGGACATGTTGAGGTGGATGGTGGGCCACTAAAGAAGAGTCAAATATAAAGCGCATACGCACGCAAAAGAGTTTCATTCACTCGTGTCCTAAAATTGGACCAGACAGAAATCGAAGCAGGAGGAGGATCAACATATGTTGTCTTCATCTTTTGTAGGAAGCAGATGATCAAATCGAAGAGGGATGAATCGTCTAAGAAGCAGGTGTTATTGTGGTGATCGTGTTGGAAGATGGACTTCATGGACTCCGTTAAACCCAGGAAGAAGGTTTATAGGCTGCCCAAATTACCAGGATGAACTCAAAGACTGTAAATACTTTCATTGGGTGGATCCTCCGCTTCCAAACCAATGGTATGCAAATCTCTTACTAGATTTTCATAACAATGTTAATTTGGAGAACAATGCAATATTCGGGGAGTTTGGACAACAACAAGTTAAGGGGAACTTTTTTGGAGGCACTATGGAACAACCAGTGGCATAACAACCCATGGAAGGAGTGGGCATTCATCAACAGAATGGAAATGCAGTTGGAAGATGGAAATCATTGTTTCATGTGTTTATGGTTTCTTTTGTGTTTGTTTTGGTGATTGTAACATCCGGATTTCCAGGTATGCTATAAAGTTCATTTATCTTGAGTTTTATGGAGGGACTCGGCGAGTAGACGTTCAGACTCGCCAAGTAGGACCGCGAGTTCTTGTCTGGATTAATGACCGGACTCGACGAGTCGATGAGTGGACTCGGCGAGTCCGCGCTGTTAAGTGCAACCCTAAATCCCCGGGCCTGTGCCCTATTTAAAGGCCTTTATGGCTTCCATTTGCGGCCAATGCACCCCTGAGAAACCCTAGAGAGCAGAGAGAAAGCTTGTAGTGCAAGAGGAGGG